ACCCCCCCCCCCCCCGTACCCCCCCCCCCCTATCCTGTGACTGCCCGAGCACAGTTCTTGTGCTGTCTGGAGATCCTGCTGGGCACGGAAGGAAACGCTCCGCCCACGCTGGTGGATGGTGCGGTGACCGGTCTCGGCGCAGTAGTAGGGGAGATGATCGGAGAAGGTCTGTTCGCTTCCGCCGCCGCCGCCGCCGCAACCGCCGGTGCTGCTTCTCCTGCTGGGGTGAGCTTGCTTGCTTTGGTTCAGCCCCTCAGGGTCGGGAGGGGGTGGAGGGTGGTTGTCGTTTCCATGGCGGCAGCAGTAGCGGTCGTTTTCCTTGCCGTCGTTCGCTGAGTGGCTTAACGTCTAGTCTAGGCTGTAGGTCTCGTCGTAGGCGAGGAGGTCAGCAAGCCAGCAAGTATCGCCCCACGGTCCCAAAACCACTTCCTCAGCGGTCGGGCGCACTTTATGGACCACGCGCGATCACCCGAAAGGGCCAGGTACGTTCGCCGACGGGACGGACGTGCGTTGTTCCACTTCCAAAACGCAGAACACCGCCGTAGCGTGCTCGCGTGGGCGCGGGGGGCGGCCCCACAGACAGCACCGACAAGTTCGAGGAGGGGGCATGATGGCGGGGATGGCATGCATAGGAGCGTCGGCCGTATCCGTTAAGCTGCTATTTCTTGTTTTCCTAGGCGCATATATATGCGGCCGTCTGTCGGTGGAAACCGCACGCCCACGGCGCGCGCAGACCTGACGCTGCTGTAAACTGCTCCTCGGCGAAAAGAAACGAGCCCGCCGAATCGAAAAAAAGTGTGTCTCGACGGGAACGCGCGGCTGCGTTTTGCTTTTCGTGGCTTTTTCGTTCTGGACAACTTGAGACTGCTTTCGTTGTCCTTGGTGTTCGACCTTGTTCTTGGTGTTTGACGTGCCGCTCTTTTTTTCCTTGCCCGATATTTTGGCCGCCGACACGTGTAGCAGCAGCGGACCGGAGACGACGGCGCAAGCCAGCGACACAGCGGCGGCGAGGTCGAGGAGGCTGTCTGGGCCTACACCCGTACGAAAGTTCCGCAGTTTGGTTGCTGCCCGGACCTCCTGCGGCGGATCTTGGAGGAGGGACGGGGCGGAGAAGGGATCAGACCGCTCGCGGACGGCACACTATCACAGTATAATAGTAGTAGTAGCTCGACCCTTCTGTAGACCGGAGAACCCCCCCCCCCCCCCCCCCGTGTTCCCTCCCAGCGTGGTTCCAGAGTTCTTCAAGGCAGCGTACTCCACGCGCCTTCTGAGGGCATGTGTGTACCGGTCGCTCTCAATTTTGCAGCAGCACGTGCCTCCCGAAGCAGGATGGCGTCTCGAATTGGACCGACGTGGTGGTGTGGCGGTACTCAGTTCTATCTAGGCATGTCCATCACGGGCAAGAACGTCACAGAGAGACGAACGCGAAGAGTGGGGGTTAGGATTTTTTTAGCACCGTTGCACTTGTAGCAAGGGGCGACTCAAGTACCCGCGACGGGTGGTACGATCGCGTGTGGAAACGGGAAGTACTGTTCTACGGTTCGGCACGACGGTGGACCTGAAGGTGATGGCGAGGGAGCCCAGCACACAGACAGGGATGGATGGTACCAAGCACGGAGGATTCAACAAGGGGCTCGAGGCTGCCGCGCGGGTACCAAAGTGGGTAAAATTCCCAGGACCGGGGGGGGGGGGGGGGGGGGGGGGGGGGACCCCCCCCAAAAAAATTTTTTAAAAACCCCGGACCCCCCTTTCCTTTGTTCCTTTTTTTTTAAGGCTTTTTTAAGGGGAGGGGTTTTTCGGGCCCCCTTTTGAAAAAAAAACCCCCTTTTCCACGGCCCCCGGGGAAAAAAAGGAAGGAATTGGTTTCCGGGGCCATTTCCCCCCCTGTTTTTGGGGTGGGGGGGGGGAATTTTTTTTTTGGCCGGTTTAAAACCCCCCTTTTTTCCTTGGGTAAAAAAAATTTAAGTTTTCCGTGTTTGGGCCAATTTTTTTGAAACCGGGAAGGTACCCGGGGCTTCCCCCCCCCCCCCCCGGGTTTGGGCCCTTTTTTTTTTTTCCCCCCCCCCCCCAAGTTAAGGCATCAAAAAAAAAAACCCCCCGGTTGGGG